TGCGACGAAGGCCAATGGAAAAAATGCGTTTTCGCGCAGCGCGCGATTTCCTGTAAATTGTTATTGTTAATTATTGTCACTTATTATGTGATTAAAACGAATTAGAACGCCAAAGGAGGCCGAGCGCCTGATTTAGCGAATTATTCAGCGAGCGCACGTTTTCCTTGCGTAAAGATGAACGTGACGTACCGTTTCGTCTCCGAAAAAGAAGCGTACAACTGGCATTAAATTATACGTGGAGTCTGGTTTAAATACATGGCGCCGACGACGAGGAATCGATGGCGAAGAGCCGCGACGCGTCGTCCCGCGTTTCCTCGGAGACCGTTTTGAGGGAACGCAGACGCCCCGTTCTCGGCTCGACCAGACTCGGCGGAAGAAATATGAGACTGATATAAACCAGTATTCGTGCGAGAAATTGCAAATTGCGAGAAATTGCGCGGCATAGCCTTAATAAGAAAAATTAATTAGGTTTATTCGGCGACCGAATGGTGTCGGTTCCGCGAAAAATTATATTCAATTGGCTGTATAAGTGAAAAAGGAAATAAGTAAGAAAAAGCAAAAAAAAAAAAAAAAAAGAAATACCTCTCGTCGAGGGTAGATCATGTCAGGAAGATCGAGATGTCATGTCGTGAACGTTGTCTGCCCTCGCACGGCGATGTATCTAGTGAGAGTATAATGTTATTAGGTAAATTTAAGCGTACTTTAAAAGCGAAGTGCGGAAGGAGAACGGAACGCAATGCCAGTTGTAAAACGGGATGGGTCGGGAGGGACAAGGGGGGGGGGATATTAACGCGAGAAGAACGTGTTCCGACAACGCGAGACTCGTCCCCAGTGATAACAAAAGGGATATTCGCGGGAGGGAAAGAAAGACATGGGAAAAACGGCACCGAGATCACGGGTGGAAGGGTGGAAAAGTGAAATGCCAGATAAACAACAGGCACGGGACACGAGAAAAGCGATATGTATACATATAATCGTGATATATATGTGTATACGTATATATATATATATGTATGTATGATATATATGTATACACATATTATAAATGTGTGTGTATATATTTTATTAAATGGCGTGAACGCGTATTTAACTTTCGGTACGGGATTTTCGTTCTTTCATTTCCCCCCTCCCCCCCCCACCTTTTATGTTGTTTGTTTTTTGTTTGTCATTCTTCGCGGTACCGTTTTTCGGGGACATCCTGTCAACGCGTTTCGCGAGATACGATTCGAGTGTACACACTCGCACACGCAATGCTGTTCATGTGTATACGCGATAGACTATTTCGGACTATGGATGCGGGGGACAAAAGGGAAATAGAGAAACGACAGCTTTACCGATAGCGGGACAGTAGTTATTTGCAACACGTGCACACACACGTATAACACACACGCATACACATGTAAAGCGATCCAAGCGATAAACACAAAAAAAAAATTGTATGAATATAACGTTTGCAGTTAGGTGGGACCAAAAACGACTTTATATCTCTATGTGCATATCCAAGCAACGTGTAATTTAATTAATGAATTAATTAATTATCCATTATTAATGACTAGGTAAAGTAAAAGATCCATTGATAGCAATCGAGAACGATGACGAATGATTAACGAGTAATTAGTCTATTAAGTTTGTTTATTGATACATTATTCTATGATATAATTATTATTATTATTATTAACTTTATTGCCTTTATTATTATTATTTTATTATTACATTGATTAAAATGACGATGATAATATTATTTAAACAATGTTTTAAGGCGATTATCTAGATATCGAGTAGAGAACAGTACGTATCTATAATTATTAATTATTTTTAATTATTATTATATTCTTATTATTATTATATTATTATTATGAGAAATTTTGTTGTATTATTTTCAATAAAATCGATTGAAAAATATATTCAGTTTACCAATTGGTTAATTCTCGCTTCTCCGCATGTATCGTGCAACTGCATGTTCCCAATTTCTTTCTCGTCTATTTGCGATCTTAATAATGCAATTACGTTTAAATATGATATTAAAGTCAAAAGTAATTTGTAAGCAAGATAACGAAAGAAATTGAAACATCTCATTGTTCGTACACGGGGTAGCGCGCCTTATCCTAAAGTCCGTTGCGATCTCAAAAGAGCATTGTTTGCGATCGCGAAAGTTTTCTAAAATTAATAGAGAGACTGTTAAATACATTAACAAAGGTAAAATACTGTTAAATTTTTTAGTTGACTATTTAGATTTTTTTTATAATTAAGGTATCTTAAAGTGTTCTCTAAAGATTATATATATATATATATAATGTAAATGACTGAGAAAATATATTAATATTTGTAATAAGAACAGAAGAAATAAGGATTTGTCTGGTGTAACTGTGAGGTACAAATTGTACATTTTTATTAAGGACACTATTTTTCATATAACGATGATTAAGATTTTTAAAATGTTTTTAACATCCGTATGTGTGTGTGTCTGTCTTTAGAATATTGCACTTATTTGTCGAAATAATTTGCAATATTTTACAAAAAAAAAACAGAATTTTGCGAGATCTCTAATTTTCTTAGGAAACTTGACGCGCAGTGAACGAAGTTATGATATTTGCGATCGTAACTGTCATCATTCATGTACATGTATTCTTTTCCTTATTTTTATTTTAATTCTCAGCATTAATTAATTCCATTAACCGCGTCTGTATACGATTATCTCTCCGCTACCCTCCGACCATCCTAGTTCTTCAAATCCCTCCTCTTCGTACCTTTCTCTCTATCCCTCTTACTCTCACGTGTCTCCGGATAATTTTCATGACTCGGAAAGAGCGGGGGAGGGGGGAGGGGGAAAGACGTAATAAAGCTACCAAAAATGAAAGAAAACGGGGAATGCGAGGTAAAATGGGGGTAGAATGATCTAACAAAGAGAAAGTCAGAGAGCGTATTATTATGGGATAAAAAGAAAATAGGCGAACCAAATGAGATGGAAGAGAAGAAGAAACCACGGAACAATAGACAAATGAGAAAAATAGTTGTAAAAGCCACACAGAACGCGTACACGTACACATACACATAGACACAAAAAGAAACACAAATGTACTAAGTAAGTTCATACTGCGTATTGCCTTTCTGACTTCGGTGTGAAAATATATAAATAAAAAAAAGTCAGTCGTGCCGGGGCACGCGTATGTTCGCGCATACATATTATATATTATAGTTATTAGCGTTCGACGAGAGAGACGAGGACTAGCTGCTTCCGCTTCTTCCTGCCAGCCTACATTGTATCTTCCTCTTACCCTTACAAATTTCTTCTACAATTCAATCCTTTCATTGAGAGAACTCTTCAACGGGTAAAAGAAACACTTTACAAGAGGAGATTGGCGACTTCCGTCTTTACGTCCGATCGAAGTCGCATCACTTTCCTTTCTCTTATTTACGAGTTCTCTTAAAATTTGTACTTAAAAAAATTGCCGTACTTCCGGTTGATTAATCCTGCTTGTTTATCCCGGAGTAGGCGGACGCGGAAGCAGCGGACGGCAGTATTCGTCGCGAAAACTTTTTTCACGGTTCCGTAAGAAAAAGTCCCACGCCGAAGTCCGCGCGTCCCCGCCGACTGTGTCTGTTTCATGTTTTTCAATATTTGTAATTTATCGATAAAATTATAAAAGATATCGATACATAACAATCTAAAGTGTGCGCTACTCTACATAATAATATTATATATAAAAAGTATAAAAGTATACATTATATATATATTATATATATATACATATATATTATATATGAAAAGTATAATATATATATATTATACATACATTGGGATTGGTGAGAATATACGGTTTTTTCGCTTTGGAGTGTTATTTTCTGAAAATATTGAACAAAATATGGAAAAAAAATTAATAAAACCAATGAGTAAAAACAAAACAAATGTGATTTTTTTTATTCTCACCCGATGTACGACACATCGTCGGCGACAGGCAATTCTCTGTTGGATTTTGCGATTACATTCATATCGCGTGAGCGCACAAGTGTGAATATCTGATGCAAATAACTTTGTATGACGCGTAATATTTTGCTTTCAATTTATAATACATGAAATCGTCCGATATATTAGATTCTGAAAATAATTCAGAATTCGAAGAAGAGGACAATGAATTCATACATAAGGATAAAGAGGTTGGTTAATATATAATACTTTTAATAATTAATATTACTTCAAATGTTCAATTTTATTTAAGTAATGTCTTATTAACTTCTTAAAATTAATACATGAACAAATTTAAATTGCTAATTTTAATGTGTAACTGATCTGTAATTATTTTTAATTTGTACATTTTAATTTGGACATTTTAATTATTAATGACAATGTTACTATAATGTAATAATTTTATAAAAATTTTGTTTTTCTATTCGACATTTATTGAAAATACAGATATTCGAAAAAATTATATATATGCCGACTCTTCCGAGTACTTTTAATAGTCTCGTTAAGAAGACAGTGAAGCTCAAAACGGATGAACCTCGATGTGTTATCGAGTCGGTAAAATTTTAGATATAAAAGTTATTTAAACTTTATAAAATCTGAAATTGTGAGATATTGAATATTTAATCTGTACAGATTGCTAGGCGATCTTTTAGGAGTTAAAGATTACGAATTTAACAAAGCTGCTTTCTGGTTTTTGGATACAGTAGCTCTTCAAGTTTTACGTTACAAAAATTGTCTAGATGATTATTATAGAAGTATATTAATTAGCTGGTTGGCTGGCGAAATGAAATTAATTCGAGGTGATTTTATCAATTCATAAATGTTAAATAAAATATTTTTTACAGAGAGAATATTTAGAAAGAGATATAATATTCTTACATAAACATAAATTAAAATGAAGATTTTAGTGCATTTGAATCTATATAATTAAATAATAGAATTTCGATACAATGGCATCATAATAATTAGTGAAATTATATCTTTTAGAGACATAGAATATTTTTACAGATAAACAACTACTTCGCGAAAATTTTTTTAAAGAAATGAGAATATTATTTCTCTATGTTGCTAAAAAATTATCTGATGGCGATCGATTGCCGCATTGGGAGTTACTCATGGATGCATATTCTGAAATTATGGCACAAAATTCTACTTCTGATTGGTCTACCGACGGCAAAACGGAATATTTAAGTACAAATAAATCATCTGAAAAGGAATTAATGGCAGAAGATGAATATGCCTTCCAAGAAAACAAACTTACTTTTGGAAAAGACTTGAAAAATTATAATATTGAAAATAGGTAAATCGAAGAAAGCATAATTTATTATTCGTGAGTCACACAAGTTACATTATTTTATTATGCGCATGGTTTTTTAAAACTAACATCAAATAAAGATTCTTATTTCAGTGTAATAAACAATCTGGAAGAGAAATCCGTTCTGGATGTAATTATTGAAGCGACATACAATATGTACGTATAAAAACGATATATTATATTTTGAATGTTTTTTAATTTCGAAGAAAAATAATATGCATAATATAAGATTTATCGTCGCATCTCTTATTTTTTTAAACAGGTATGCTAATGAATTACGATATGACCTTATATATGCAGTTTTTGTAAAACCAATACAAATGCAAATGTTTCTTATGCCCAATCAAGTACAACGTCAAATTAAACTAGCGCATTCTAGAGGATCATTTGACGTAAAGCTTCGTGAACGATTAGAAGAGGTTGCTCGTGAATCAATAATTAAAAATGGTAAAAAATTTAAATGGAAATAGTATAATAAAATAATTATAGATTTAATTATTCATACATGTATTCGATATAATGCAGCACTACATTTATCTCTATTAATGTTTATATAATCGTACCTACATTGTCTATTTTATATTTTATTATACTTAATTATAAGAATGTATTTATTTTTATTTTATCATGGTCATGTAATGATTTGTCCACAGTGATAATTGAAAATAAATATTTTTTTTTGCTTTCAGGAAAGAAAAGAACTAATGACACGAGAAAAAACCCAATGATCGAAGATTTCGAAATTCCTCCAACACCACTAGCTTCATTAAATGAGGAAGAAATATTAGCTAATAATAGTTGTCGATTTATTCTACCATTGATAGAAGCGAAAGAAGCGGCGCAGATCTTCGAAATCTTGCATGGAAGGAGTATGTAATTACAATAAATATAAAATTGAAAGAATATATTATTTCGTCTAACAATTTAAAGTACAATGTTATTTTGTGATTATCGCCGTGCCCCATTCATGACATTTGAATTTTTTCACTGTTTCAGAATCTAGTAAAAAATAAATGTCCAATTTGACAAAATTATATGGATTTTCCAAATTTCGTTGAAGTTTTCCTAGTTGACCGTACTTATTAGTGCCGCAGCCCCAAAAAAAGCCGTCATCTGAAAAAACGAAGATTATTTTTCTTCTATAAAATATAATCTTTTTTTTATTAAGACTCTATTGAGTTTATGAAAAGAAGATTCATTTTACCTGTCAAGCATATAGTAAACGAATTTCCACACTCGACTTTTTTAACATTAATTTCTATATTCTCTCCTCTGTCATTTTTAAAATCTATTAAAGTTGGAACAGCATAAACCTTTTTGTCTTTATTTTCAATTCCTAATTCTCCATTTGAATTCCATCCCCAAGTATAAAGATCACCCTGTTATGTTAAGTTTCGTTTACAAATCATATAATGATAGATGTAATTTATTAATTTTTACGTACTGACCTGATCAGTGACTACGGCGGTATGCCAACCACCTGCTGATATTTGTACTACTTTGAGACCTGCTAGAGCTTCAATAAGCTTTGGATTATCACAATTTTCTAACTCGTTGTGCCCTAATTGGCCACGTCTATCATAAATGTAAATTATAATAATTATACGACATAAAAATTTCCTAAGAATAATTTCGTGCTTCTCTAATATTACATACATTCCCATTCCCATTGAGTATACATCGCCATTCTCTGCTAGTAAAATAGTATGATCAAAACCACAGGTAAGATCAACAAATTTGACTCTCTTTGGTATCTCAACCAAAAGTGGAGCATTAAATACGCGTCCTTAGAAAATAAAACATTTTTTGTAAATTATATTTAATAACGATGTAATGCTTAAGCTGAGAATTTTTTATTGCACACCTAAATTGGTTAAAATTACTGTACACCCTGCTTGTGATAGTTTAATAGCGTGTTCAACTTGTATGTTGTCATTGCTAGGAATAAAGGGTGTTACTTTTTGCCAAGTGTCATCATATATTTTATATTTCCAGATTTCATTGCATGTGGATAAAACAACTACACTATCCCTACCAGGAATAGCCAATTTACAACTGTAAAAGAAATCATATTTTAATAAGGTAAAAAATAAAATAAAATTTTTAGTAAAGAAAAAAGTCGTATTTTGTCTATTGCCTTCCTGATGACTCTTCTGGAATCTGCATTAAACGTGGTCTGTTTTTTTCATCTTCTTCACTAATTTTACCAGTGATATATAATTTCGTATTTTGCCACAGAAGAAAATAATTCCAACCAATCTCAATGTCTGTGATTTCAGGAAATGGAATCTGAGTCAAATGCGATATTGATGTGATAATCCCATCCTGATTGGAAAAGAGTGGACTGGCATTTAAGCCAGTATAATATACCGGCATGTCTCTGTAAATAAGAAAAATACAATAGAGTAATATAATTGTAAGAGTAATATAATGCCATTATTTTATTATATTATAAATATTTTATTACCAGTTTTTTTATTATTACGAGAATTCCATGATTATTCTGTTCAATTTAAATGATTCATAAAATTCATAAATTTATCTAAATTATATTTAATATTTCAATAAGTGATCTCGTTATTGAGGTTTAAAAAAGATGTTTTTCATAGAAAAAAAATAAAATTATTTAAATAAAATATGTAGGTAAAACAGAAATGTATTTATTTATCTACTGTCGTTCACAGAAGCAATACGAAAAAATATCAATACGCGCACGTGGTAACCGAACTGTAGTTTCTCATCTAATGGTATCAGTGCGCTGATCAGCTCATAACATCAATCAGAATATGCAGATGTCACCATTTTCCTTGGATACCAGGAAACCAACACAACATTTTCATATAACGTAATGGAAATCGCCGAGATAACGCAGTAGGTTGTTAACGCATCTTCATCCTAGAACCTGAAATATATATCATCAAGAAGATGGTAAAAGTCACGTGAATTAAATGCAAATGCACAATATTATGCACTTTTTTTTCCTCGCCACCACCTGATACACTTTTAAATGCATGAAGTAATCGAAACATAACCTGCGAAAATTTTATTGCAGTATATTAAGTTTATATTACGCGCTTTAAGTTTCTATTAACAAGTTTTACATAGAAAATTAAAAATTGTAAACATCTCATTAAATAAAGTAAACGATTTTTATCAGTTTTTATTGTATACAAAAATTCACTTTCTGTGCACTATGTTCATATCTCTCCGTATATACACTCGAGATGACGTTGCGAATGCGGGCTGGCTATATCCTCGTCGTCATAACTTGCATACATTCGACTAGGAGAAGGGAATTATCTTCTTAAAATTGCACATTCTGTTTGCGAACGAAATTCAAAATATTTCTATAGCTATTTAACTTTTTACACAATATTGCAATCAATTGCGAATTATTGACATATATACGATGTAATTGCAAGTTCTTCTAATTGCAAAGTCATTAATTTCTATTAATAACTGTGCGATAACAAAATAAAATTATATACATTATAAACTTGAATAATTTGATAAAAAAACAAAGTTATTTATTGGGTCATCTAAAAAGTATCCGCGGTTTTTTGTATTTATTTCACATGAGCATTAAAAAATACATTAATGAAAGTACTTCCCATCACTTGTAAAACGCTACGAATTAATTCCAACACCTAATAATATAATTATTATATTTATAATAAGTGTAATTGTAATTTGTAATATAATAGATAAATGTATAATTTTTTAAAAATAATTATAGTAAAGAAAATTTTTTCTTCTTTATTCATTAATTTACTAGATGATCTAATTATTGATATATTGAAAAATAAAGTATTTGTTACCATTTAAATTGCAAAACTATTTCAATTTTTTCACGATACTACAAATTCATTGTGAATCATTGATATTTAAAATGTTAGGGTCTGCTTGCCATTTTACGGAAATTACGATCGAATCCTGATAAAGAGCTACGATTATTACTACTGGGTCTGGACAATGCTGGAAAGACGACTATTTTAAAATCTTTGGCAAGCGAAGATATTACCCAAGTAAACTAATTTCTTCTTAATTTCCAAAATTAATTAATTTAAATTAATTAATTTATAGACAGTGTAGTAAAAATTGATGTAAAGTATATTTGTAAAATATATAGTATGACAAATGTATGAATTGTAAATGTAAATTGATTTTTTTAAGGTAACTCCAACACAAGGTTTTAATATAAAAAGTGTTCAGAGCGAAGGTTTCAAATTAAATGTTTGGGATATTGGTGGAGCTCGAAAAATTCGACCGTATTGGCGAAATTATTTTGAGAATACGGATGTACTTGTAAGTCTTTATTACTTATTAATTTCTTTAATTTTTAAGTTTTAATATAAAAATTATTATATTTTTTTATCATTATTTATCATTATTTAATAATACAGTTTTTATATATTAGGTGTTGGAATTAATTCGTAGCGTTTTACAAGTGATGGGAAGTACTTTCATTAATGTATTTTTTAATGCTCATGTGAAATAAATAACATTCTTTCATTAAAAAACGCTACGTTAAACCCTACGAATTAATTCCAACACCTAATAACATTTTATGATAGTAATGAAATACAATAAATTTATTATATAAAATTTAATATAGAAAAGAGAAATAATTCATGTTTTTTTTTACTGAAGTTTTATTGTTTTAATAACGAAATAATTGTAGAAAAATTCCCTTAACCAAAAATGTCAGGAGACAAGGTAATTCCAATAGTCGAAGTTTGCGTAGAAGCTTATTAGCTCTTTCTTCTAATATATATATATATATATATTTCAAATAATATGCATATTTATTAAGAATTATGTGTTCTCAAATATTGTAAAATTTTATAAATGTAATAATTATAGCGATTTAATTTAAATAAGCATTGAATTTCTTTTTTAGTAAGTCGATTTTATTTAATAAATATTACAAATTAATTGTGATTATTCAAGAAGCGTCTATCGCGTTCTGTTTTTTATTTAAAAATAATCTTAAAATTTATGCAAATATTTTAATCTTGTATCTTTCTTTCTAGATAAAAATTAAATTAAAATTTTGTAACGTTTATTGATTACAGATTTACGTTGTTGATAGTGCGGATATCAAAAGGTTGGAGGAAACGGGACAAGAATTATCAGAGCTTCTATTGGAAGAAAAATTACGCGGAGTGCCACTATTAGTATACGCGAATAAACAAGACCTGGGACACGCCGTAACAGCAGCTGAAATAGCCGAGGGACTCGGTTTACACAATATCAAGGATCGTGATTGGCAAATACAGTCGTGTATCGCTATTGAGGGCAAAGGCGTGAAAGTGTGTAGCAAATATTTTTTGACTTTTAAATTTTGAAATGTGATACATTAATTATATATAGAATTTTCATTTTACCATTAATAATTTTTATATTTCAATATATTGGACAGTATATAAACTGTGTAAAAATAAGAATCTTAGACATAAAAATTTAAATTCACATCAATGTATAATTTTATGGAATTATGTCTTGTATTATTTGCATTTTATAATTAAGTTTGGAATTAAGTTTGTCTCTATTTTTAGGAAGGTTTAGAGTGGGCATGCAAGAACATTAAAAGGAAGTAATAAATACACCATGGAATTCGAGAGACATAATTGACGTTTATGCCACATTAGGGCGCACGAAAGGAACAAGGCTTACACCATCTCCATTGTACATTTTACACATAATCTTTATTTATCTTTTAACTACTATTTACAAAAAATTATTTAGAACATTGTTATGTAGATTTGGTATGAATGTACGTATATCGAACGGGTCTACAAACCCGTCGTCATATCGAACATATCCAATTGTCAGACTTCCGTCCATTTTGGACTCGAGAAGTTCTATTTTTCGCAGAAAAGAGTAATAGCGAGTCCATAAAATATATACGGCAAACTCTACTTAAATGTGCCTTCTTGCTGTCTTAAATATAGATTGGAATTTTTATAGATTTATCTAGTGAGAAATAAAAAAATAAAGAGATGTAACAAGAAGAAAGACACGAT